ACCCGATGCAACCAAAAATAAATAAATGAATAAATCTTAAAAAAAAAATTCCCTGCAAATAGAAGTCCAGTACTGGACAGATTCACTGGGGAAATCTACCAAACATACAAAGAATAACTTATTCCTATCCTTTTCAAACTATTCCAAAAAATTGAAGAGAATAGAACACTCTCTAATTCATTCTATAAGGCTACCATCACCCTGATACCAAAACCAAACAAATACACTAAAAAAAAAAGAAAGAAAGAAAAGAAAATTACAGGCCAATATCTCTGATGAATATAGACGCAAAAATCCCCACCAAAATATTAGCAAATCAAATCCAACAATACATAAAAAGGATCATACACCATGATCAAGTTTGTTTTATTCCAGGGTCATGAGGATTGTTCAATATTCACAAACCAATCAATGTGATATACTACATTAACAAAAGAAAAAACAAAAATCACATCATAATCTCAACAGACACAGAAAAAGCATTTGGCAAAATTCAACATCCATTCATAATAAAAACTCTCATCAAAGTGGGTATAAGGAACATATCTCAACATAATAAAGGCCATTTACACCAAACACAGAGCCAATATAATACTCAACAGTGAAAAGCTGACAGACTTCCTGCTAAACTCAGGAGCAAGACAAGGATGTTCACTCTCACCACTTCTATTTAACATAGTATTGGAAGTCCTAACCTAACCACAGCAATAAGAAACTGGAAAGGAAGTGGTAAAACTGTCACTCTATGCAGATGACATGGTACTCTATGTAGAGAACCCTAAAGTTTCCACACAGAAACTATCAGAACTAATAAAAGAAGTCAGCAAGGTAGCAGAATACAAGATTAATATACATAAATCTGTTGTATTTCTTTATATTAGCAATGAAATGTCAGGAAGAGAAAATAAAAGAAAAATCCTGTTTAAAATTGCATCAAAAATGTAAAATACCTAGGGATAAACTTAACCAAGGAGGTGAAAGACCTTACACTGAAAACTATAAAACTTTGATAAATGAAACTAAAAGTGATTTAAAAAAATATATATTCCATGCTCTTGGATTGGAAGAATTAATATTGTTAAAAATGGCCATACTATCCAAAGCAAACTACAGATTTAGTGCAATCTTTATCAAAATATCCATGACATTTTTCACAGAACTAGATCAATCCTAAAATTTATATGGAACCACAAAAGGCCCAGAATTTTCAAAGCAATTCTGAGGAAAAAGTACAAAGCTGGAGGTATAACCCTTACAGACTTCAGAAAAAGCTACAGTCATCAAAACAGTGTGGTACTTGCACACACTAAAAAAGGCACATAGATCAATGGAACAGGACAGAGGGCCCAGAAATAAACCCACAACTTATGGTCAATTAATCTACGAGAAAGGAGGCAAGAATATACAATGGAGAAAAAATAGTCTCTTCAGCAAGGGGTGCTTGGAAAGCTGGACAGCTACATATAAATCAATGAACTTTGAACACTTCCTCACACCAGATACAAATATAAACTCAAAATGGTTTAAAGACTTAAATACAAGACTTGACACCATAAAACTCCCAGAACAGAACATAGGCAAAATATTCTCTGATATAAATCGTAGCAATATTATCTTAGATCAGTCTCCCAAGGCAAAAGAAATCCAAGCAAAAATAAACAAATGGCACTTAATCAAACTTAAAAGCTTTTACAGAGTAAAGGAAACCATCAACAAAATAAAAAGACAACCTACAAAATGGGAGAAAATGTTTGTAAATGATGCAACTGACAAGGGGTTAATATCCAATATATACAAGCAGCTCATATAACTCAATATCAAAAAAAAAACCCAATCAAAACATGGGCAAAAACCTAAATAGACATTTTTCCAAGGAAGACATACAGATAGCTAACAGGCACATGAAAAGATGCTCAACATTGCTAATTATTAGAGAAATGCAAGTCAAAACCACAATGAGTTATCACCTCACACTGGTTAGAATGGTTATCATCAAAATGTCTACAAATAATATATGCTGGAGAGGATGTGGAGGAAAGGGAATCCTTGTATGTTGTTGGAAGGAATGTAAATTGGTGCAGCCATTATGGAAAATAGTATGGAGGTTCTTCAAAAAACTAAAAATAGAGCTACCCATATGATCCAACAATCCCACTCCTGGGTATATATCCAGAAAAAAATGAAAACTCTAATTTGAAAAGATACATGCACCGCAATGTTCATAGCAGCACTATTTACAATAGCCAAGACATGGAAACAACCTAAATGTCCACCAACAGATGAATCGATAAAGAAGATGTGGTATATAAATACAATGGAATATTACTCATCCATAAAAAAGAATGAAATATTGTCATTTGAAGCAACATGGATGGACCTAGAGAATATTATACTTAGTGAAGTAAGTCAGACAGAGAAAGACAAATACTATATGATATCACTTATATGTGGAATCTAAAAATTAATCTATATACAAAACAGAAACAGACTTATAAATATAAAAAACAAATTTATGGTTACCAAAGGGGAGGGAGGTGGGGAGGGACAAATTACATGTATTGGATTAACAGATATAAACTACTATACACAAAATAGATAAGCAACAAGGATTTACTGTATCAAACAGTGAATTATATTCAGTATCTTGTAATAACCTATACTGGAATATAATATGAAAATAAAAATAACTGAATCACTACACTGTACACCTGAAACTAACAAAACATTGTAAGTTAACTATACATCAATAAAAAAATACTTAAAGAGTATTGAAAGCAAAAATTGTAACATTGTATTTAGATGTAATACATATGATAACTGTTGCTGAAGGACAATGGGTGAAGATAAATAAATATATGTGGTAGTGAAATTTCTACATTTTATGTAAAGTGTTACAATTAACCCTAATAGAATATGGAAAGTTAAGGAAGTACAATATATTGTAATCTCTAGAGCAACAGATTAAAAAGAATATGTGAAGATAAATTGCCTATATGTAAATTCAAATGGAATCATAATAAAAACTTTCAAATAATCCAAAAGAAGGCAAAAAGGGGAGATAACAGGAACAAAAAATGATAGGACCAACAACAACAAAAAATAAACTGGTAATACCTAAATACCATCCCATCAGTAATTATATTTAATATTAACGGACTAAACACTCCAACTAAATTATGTAAGACTGAATAAAAAAGCAAGACCCAACTATATGTTCTCTACAGGAGACATGATAGATACCTAACAATAAAACCTTAAAATACATGAAACAAAAAGGTACAGAATTAAAGTGAAAAGTAGACAATTCTATAATCATTAAATTTTAATACCGCTTTCTCAGAAATTGATTCCTAGTCAAACACCAGTTAAATCACAGAATATCTAATAAACGATATCAGCCACATTTAGCTATTTGATTTTTAGAGTATAAAAACAAAAATAAATAGAAGTACAAGGAAAATATTCATAACACATATTTTAACTTACTTCTCTAAGAATTGAAAAATCAACCAATAATAAAAAACAGTGAAGATTTAAACAGTACAAAGTAAAAATGAGAATTTCAAATTTGACTCAGATCATATATGTGTGTGTGTGTGTGTGTGTGTGTGTGTGTGTGTATCTCACATCTATATAATGGATATTACTCAGCCATGTAAAAGAATGAAATTCTGCCATTTGCAACAACAGGGATGGCAGAATAGCATAGAGTACTATGCTAAGTTAAATAATTCAAAGAAAGACAAATATTCTATGTTATCACTTATACGTGGAACCAAAAAATAAAACAAAAACAAAGCAGAAACAGACTCACAGATATAGAGAACAAACTAGTGGTTACCAGAGTAGAGACGGAAGGGGGGAGGGGCAAATTAGGGGTATGAGATTAAGAGATACATATACATTTATTTATATGTATAAAATAAATAAGCAATGAGGAATATTGTACAGCACAGGGAATTATAGCCATTATTTTGTAAAAACTTTAACTGGAGTGTAATCTATAAAAATATTGAAAAACTATGTTGTACACCTGAAACTGATATAAATAATATATCAACTGTACTTCTATTTAAATAAATAAATAAATAAAGCATCTCTAAGTAAGTTTTTAAATGTAAGGTAATCACTAAGTAAACTGCTAAGGTAAATGTTGCAATAATTTAATCTTTTGTGGTGGAACATGCAACTGTGGTACAAAAAATGGCAAACCAACCCAAGCTGGAATAGTTCCATCTTTTGATTTCACCCACTATAAAAACATACCACTATTTTCTCAATGTGAAACTATAATAAACACTCAGAAACTATGAAATAGAATGTATTTCATTAACCTCTAGGTTTTGACCTCTTTATTCTTACAACCAACCAGTGGTATGAGATAAACACGAAACTCAGATCATCACCAATATTATGGAAAATAATATGGCCTCTGAATAAAAGATATTCATACATTTGAAATTTTTATTCTGCCTAGACAGATCCAACATAAATCCTAAATATCTCCTTTCAATGAGGAATATAAGATAAATACAACCTACGATAAAAACCATGTAGTCATAATTTAGTGGAATCAAATGGCAGAAATGGAAATAAATGGGAGAATTTAGAAAACAACAGACTCTAAAGCAGTATAGAAATTAGGTCCAAGAGTCAGATCTATAAAGTGCCATTCTCTCACTAGCTCCTTACCCTTAAAATTCGTCAAATATACTATATTATCTCCTCTGCTTCAGGTACATCAACCATCAGTTATTCAATTTTTGGTATCAAAATTGAATAGGTATCACTTACAAGGTAGGAAAGTTGATAGATAGGAGGAAGGGAAGTATAGAAACTTTGGGTCATAATGTAGGGATCTGAAGGAGGTATAAAGGGGTATTTAGAATCAGAAGCTATGTCCTATTACCTCTTTCTAGTGATAATGATACCAACTTTCCTACTTCAAGTAACGGCACTGAATCTCCAGAGTTGATTTCTTTTGAAAGCATACATCTTACCATGTGGAATTGTGGTCTGGAAAGGACGACTTGGGCTTTTCAGGTTCCATAAAGTCAAGCTACCATCTGAATGGCTGCACATGAATTGTTTGCCCTCATGATGCCAATCAATTGAATGAATAGCCTAATGAAATAACAATTAAAAACAAGTAGAGGAGGGGAAAAGTTGATATATCATTCTATATTCCAAAGGAAAAATATTTTAACACAGAATTATTATAGCAATAACACTTAAGAAACATATGTAATTTTTCTGACCTAGGTCATACTACCTTTGGTTTCAACCTTCTATAGGCTTATAAAAGGCTACAAAAACTCACCTCCTAAGATAAAGAAAAGTTAAGTAAATTTCATAGTATCGTTAGATCCCAGAACTTTTTGTTGTAAATCCTAGGTCCTCCCCGTACCCTTTAATGCTTCTTTGAAAATTATTACACAGAAGTAAAAGCAAGGTTATCAGAAAATAATCTCTGGTGAGGTAGAAGCCTAGTTCCACTTAAAATAGCCAACTTAAAAGGTAGTTTACATAAGAGTTGCAATTTGAGGGCTTACTACATGCCAGACCCCAGGGTAAGCAGTTTATGTACATTATCTCATTTAATCCTACAAAACAGATATTATGTTTTTCCAAATTACACGTGGTGAAATAGGCCTAGAAAGATTGAGTTACTTGCTCAGGTTACACCACTCAAAGCCAGCGTCTGACTACAAAACCCATATTTGGAATCACTGGACTATATTAACTCTAACATATACTATTTAATTTGACTTAAAGCAAGAAGAGTTTAAAATTTTTGTATTTACAGATTCATTCTGTAGATGTGAATTAAATAAAATTAAAAAGTAATCATTACATTTTCCTAATTTGTTTTATTCCCAATGGTTGCACAGTGTCTTGCATAAAGTAGGTACTCAAAAAATCTGTTACATGAATAAGTAATTAACGTTATCAAATATTTCCACACTCTTGGTATTCTTTCAAAATTAATAAAGTATATATGGAACTTGGGTAATGTGCTAATAAGCAGAATGAAAGAAACTCTAGTAGGCATAAAAGTTGAACAGATGTATATACAGCATGATCCTTTCCTTAAAAGAACTTAAACAACTGCGAGGTAGGAAACATTTATACCAATGTTAATACTACTTATCGTTTGGAACTTTTAACATTTAGTTTTTTAATCTATATTTATAAAACTAAGTTATGTATATATTTATTTTATACCAAACTTATACATATATGCACACACACATATTTCCAAACAATAAGTATTGTTAGAGTTATAAATAAATGATGACTAGAGCAGTCATTAGACATATCAGAAGTGAAATAGTATATGAGTGGACCTCAAGATAAGATGTGGTTAATTGCAAAAGATACCATGACACACTGGACTTATGTTTTCTCTCACCCTGGTCTTTATTACTGGGCAGAGAAGACTTCTTTATTGCCAGGGTTCACTAGAGGCAGTGAGAGGGAAAAAACACTCTTCTTTGTCTTCTCCTCTGCGTATTTCTTCTCATTTTTTATGTGACTAAAGGGAAATGTCACTTCTTGCCTCCTCTACATGTTAACCTGGATGAACCTCAGTCAATTTAAAGTTCTCTCAGACTACTTTGCTATAAATGGTAGGCGCAGAGCCCCAGCCCTAACCTTTCTTTCTATCCCACTGCATTTCTGTCTACTGGAGAACACAGATATAAAAATGATATATATAACATAAAACCAAGATAAGTACTATAAAAGTACATTTATTGTACAGAAGAGTAGGCATGTAAAACCAACTTGTTATTAAAGAATAGGATGTCAAATAGCCCATCACTGAAGAGATTGAACAGCTGGAATTTGAACTGACTTAATGGGTAAAAATTCAATTTCTATTTATTTGATTATACTCCACTCTTTTCTTTAAAAAGGACCTTAAGCATTTGCTGAAAAACCAAATATAATACAACTAATTAAAGAAAAAAATTTTTAATGAAGAACAATATGGAAAATAAACTCAGTGGCTGTGACTGAATTTCTTGTGAACGAAAAAGACAAAGGAAACCCAAAAAGCTAGGTAACAATCTGAAAAAAGGAAAAACAGCAGTTAGTAAGGAATTAAAAAGTTATCCTCATGTCAGACTCTGAGAGATTTCTCTGTGAGAGATTATTTAAGAAATATTGATGTAATGAAACAAAAATTTCACAGCTAATGTGGAAGTAAAATTCATATGGTTATTTCTGAAAATGATCTTGGATTTCCAAAACAAAACTCTGAATTCACCAGTGGTTATTTATCAAGTGGCTAGTTAGATAGTCCAAATAGCTTTACAGTAGCTAAATAATTAATAGAATTTTGATATGCATAAGAGGAAAGAAGGGAGTTCATGATAAGGTATTAGCAGCAGCAAAGGCCTGGAGGTAGGAAGTAAATGGTATGTTTAGGAGACAGTGAGTAACATGTCTGAAGTGTAGAAGTGTGTAGAAGGATGCAGTAAATTAAATTCAAGGGAAAAAGCACCAGGGCTTTAACCTCCTGTCAAGGAATAAGACTTTGTACTGTTGACAACTGGGAGCCATTCAAAGGTTTTGAGGTAGAGAATTACCTTATCTGCTATGTCTTAAAATGATAATCTTGTTAGTGAAAGATATATTGAAAAGGTAAGATATCCGAGGAAACATGATTAGTTAAAAGGCTATTGTAAGTCTTCCAGGCAAAAGATAACATCCTCAACTAGGATGCTGAATGTAGGAATGAAAAAGGAGAAGAAATAAATGAGAGACAATATAAAAATTGGATCAAGAAGACTACAAAAGTGATTGCATATGATATATGAAGAAGAAAAAAGGGTCAAATATGACTCTGAGGGTTATAAATTAAAATAACTAAATCAAAATTGAAAAACTGAAAAAGAGGTTCAGACCTTTAAATATAAATTCAGTGCCAATGGAATATTCATCTGGACTTATAGATTATTAGATATTTGGATCTAGATGTCAGGAGAGAGGTAAGAGTTAAAGATATATGAACTTTTAATTTATCAGCATAATATAGGTAATATTTGAAATGGTGGGAGGGGATATGAACATAAATGTAAACTGAAGGAGAAATGAAGAGAGGGTGAAGACCTAGAATCCTGAAGAGTATCTATCATGTAAAGGAGAGTTAAGGAAAGAACCAGTGACGGAGAAAGGAGGGGTGAAAAATGAGGTGGAAAAACACAAACAAGGGAAGAAACCATTTTAAAAAGGAAGGACTGATGTAAAGTCACAGGTTTAGTGAGGAACTTAAAAGACTAAGGAAGGGGTCACTGGTCATTGGTGACTTATGAGAAACCATTTCAGGACAGATGATTTCAAAATATGAGACATAAAGTGATGAGGAAAGTTTGAAAAGTTTGGTAGTAACATGAAGTATACAACTATCTTTATTAAAATGATAGGACATATAATTATGCATTAAAGTAAATCAATTTTATATATATTCATATAATTCTAAGTCTAAAGTGTAGTATTCTACTGACTTAAACATTGTCAATCTTTATTTAAACATTTCATTGCAAAATTACTTTCACTTACGTTTTAAAGTTAGAAATCTTCCTTCCACACTTTTTAAGGCCACAGGAAAACTAGCTGATTGAGCATTCTCATCTGGATTTCCATTTCAGCTGCTCCACTCTAGTTCCAACTGACTAAATACACAGATGGTATTTGGACTCTTATCTAACTGCTAGTCTTTTTTTTTTTTTTTTTTTTTTTGCGGTACGCAGGCCTCTCACTGTTGTGGCCTCTCCCGTTGTAGAGCACAGGCTCCGGACACGCAAGCTCAGTGGCCATGGATCACGGGCCTAGCCACTCTGCAGCATGTGGGATCTTCCTGGACCCGGGCATCTGGTTAGGAAGCCCTAACTGCTAGTCTTAAGAGAGGAAGTGATCTTCATATTCATCTTTGTATTTTATGTATTTAACAAAAGGAAAACCCTAGCTTAGCTCTCTAGGACCTTCTTGCCTTATGATTCAAGGTGCCTCGTAAGTTGATCATAAAGAGCATGATTGTATGACATTGCTTGCCAGATTATTGTTCACTAATCGTGACCAAATTACCCAGCTGTTATATCATTTACTTCTGAATTCTTTGTCACCATGACAATAATCTTGTATATATCATAAAATCTTAGTTTTCCAGAACCACTAAGAAATGAATGGGGGGTTGGGGTTATGGGATAGCTGAAGGCTTGTACCTTTAAGCACCAAAATTTAAATTTTACTTTTATAAGGGGATGGAAGAGGGCATAAAAAGAAACTGTTCTAAAAAAATGTGTTTTCCTTTCAAATTTATTTCTCTATTTATCTTAGTGTTGTCTTAAATTCTTTGGCACTCTTCCCATTTAAGCCTGGGTAATTCTAAACAGTGATTTTTGACCTCTATTTTCCTATCTCTCATCACTGTAACAATTTTTAATTTAATTGAGAGCCTAGATGATCACCTTTATTTCCACAGCTACAAGATATAATTTCCCTTTCTCACCTTTTGCCCCTAGCCTCACTCTTTTCACATTAGCTTCTTCTTAAGAAGGAAATAATAGCCTAGAATCAATCTTCGAACAACCGAAGTATCAATTAACAGACTATTCCTTGATAAGAGTTCATTGTTTTCTCTACATGAAAACCTAAAATCTCAATTCTGTACGATAAAATGTAATTCAAGATCTGACTTTTATTATTAAGTATTACTATTTTAAAAATCTCTCTTTACCGTAAGAAGGCAAGTATTAGAAGATAAGGCCTTTCAAACTGACTACTTAAACTTTCTGCCACAGAAAAACAATTTTCTAAAGATGTGAATAGTACCTTTAGAGACCTTAAGGACAAAAAGGTTAAGAAATAAGCATAGGGCTTCCCTGGTGGTTGAGAGTCCACCTGCCGATGCAGGGGACACAGGTTCGTGCCCCGGTCCGGGAGGATCCCACATGCCGCGGAGCGGCTGGGCCCGTGAGCCATGGCCGCTGAGCCTGCGCGTCTGGAGCCTGTGCTCCGCAACGGGAGAGGCCACAACAGTGAGAGGACCGCGTACCGCAAAAAAAAAAAAAAAGAAAGAAAGAAATAAACATAGAGCCTAAAGGAAAGAAAAAGATAGGTAATAGACACCAACATACGTAAATGCCCAAAAAAGGCTTAAAAATAATCCGTCAAGGCAAAATTTCCACTCAGGAGAACAACCCAGAGGTGGAACTCGTGCAAATACCAACAGGCAGTGTGAGGTACTGGATCAGAACTAGGTAGTTTTCCAATGATAAAAATACTGGTAACATACAAGGCTTAAATGTAGAAAACAGGCATAAAATCACAATACTCTTTACAAATATTCCAGTAGAAATCACTTACCTCATCATAATAAACTCTCAGTTCTGCTCTTTTAGATTTCAAGTCCCAGAATACTACAGTACCATTTTCATAACCTATTAGCAGCTGGAAAACATTAGAACAATCATTTTTGTAATTCTAACATTAATTTTACCTTGCTCCAAATAAAAATTAATGTTAATACAATAAAGTATAATAATACTACATTATACAACTTTATTTAGAATACCAATTTTTCCAAACCTGAATACAGGTTTTCTACATTGAAAAAAATTGGCACATGAACTCTACTTCAATATAAACATTTACCAAAGAAATCTACCTCATTCCAAAGAGTATATTGAGAAAATATGTAAGTATATATGAAACAACATAAAAATAAATGAGAACATTGGAACAAAAGAAAAATGGGATAGAAAATGAAGATGAAATAAAGGATGAAATGTGATAACTTTAACAAACAGTGTATATGCCATTCAGTTTTTTGCACTTGAAAAATGTGGCCACAAATTTGGCTTCAAATTTCTTTCTATCAAATCCAATTTTCTGACTTACGTCAGTATTTTAAATTGGTGATTTATGAACTCTCTGCAGTTCACAAAGGTATTCTAGAGATCCACATCATTAAATATAGTTGATACTGATTTATAAATCAATAAAAAAGACAATTAACAAAATATACATTCTTCATTTCAAAAGAAAAGGATTTGAGAACAGAAAATGATTATTAGATGATCATATTCAAGACTCAGTCATTCAGCTAAATACTGCTAGCTGTGCTGATGGTTTTTACTATGATTCTGATTTTTATTTGTAGTTATATTTTGTTAAATTTAATCTACCATTGGTTAAAAAAAACCCAGAAAGAATAAAAATAGGCCAACGTTCAAATAATGATATTTCACAGGAATGTGCCTTAAGATGATTTTCTTGAAATCCATTAGTAGTATTTCTCTGGTGAAAATTCTTATACTGTTAATAAAGTTGTTTCAGTAACTCCAAAACACAATGGTAAAAACAGAAAATATAATGGTAGTTATAAGTTACTCCTACATAGTTTCTTGAGACCTAATCATTTCCCTAGAAATTTTATAACAGAACACAAAAAAACAACAAAAATAAGCCAGCTAGTAGTTTTAACAGGAAACAAAATTTCAAATATCAGATCATGAAAGCAATGCATATTACTTTTGAAGGTATAGCATATACTTAAATGTTTTATTATTAAACTGCAAACAATAAATTCTAAAATTGACTTAAAAATTGAGCTTTCTACATATTAAGTTAAAGTAAATGGCATAATGACTTCATAAATTTAAAAAGTCAAAATTAGTGTAAACAAAGACTTTCTTAAAATAAAATTTATATAAAGTAATATATACTGTACTAAGATATGTATTAACTTCAACTTTTTTTATATACCAGAGAAAATGATAAACAATAAAACCAAATCCTATGAGGTGTATGACAAAAGTTTCTATGAAATGTATGGAAGGAAGATTTATAAGTCTAAAAAGTTTGGAAAATCTGACCTTTCAGAAATTGAGCCTCAAGATGTAATGGAATGATATTCTAAAATGCTATTATATTTTTTATAATAAACATAAGATAGAAGTCATTTTGTTTATAAAACATTATAAGCAATAGTCCCAGTAAATCACAAAATATAAAATAATAAACCTCAAAGTATCAAAAAATTGAGGTAACTATACAAGATTGTGATATGGAAAATATGAAAATACATTAGAAACACTTAAAGAATTGAGAAAGAGAAAAACAGCCCCTGACATGCAGGAGACACCAGACAAAGTCATTCTGTGACCATGATGAATCAAGACAAAAATAAGATCCCTCTGTAATCATGCCTGATCACATCAAAACAGGAATATTGCCCACATCACAAATACATATCATATATGTACGTGTGTGTGTGTATATATATATATGTGTGTGTGCATATATATATATATATATATATATATAGGCAAAGAAGTAGGTGATTTTTTCACTACATATTATCAGGACCTGGAAAAGTTTCTGAAGAAAATAGGTATCTGCAAAAATATCTGTTAAATTAGTTAGTAAATACCAAATAATCAAAATCAAAGATACTACATATTCTCTAACAAACATGAAATAAAATTAGAACTCATTGACAAAAATATTTTGGAAACTAAAATCTATGCATTTAAGTAATTATGGCGAAACAAGAAATCATAATGAAAAGTATGAAACAGAAAAGAACAAAAATGCCTCATATTGAACCTTGTGGGATACAGATGATCCTCATCAAGAGGGAAATATATGGTTTTATAAATACAGGCATACCTTGAAGATATTGTGGGTTCAGTTCCAGACCACCTCAACAGAATGTAATATCAAAATAAAGTGAGTTATACAAGTTTTTTTTGGTTTCTCAGTGCATGTAGACTTCTATACTGTAATCTATTAAGTGTACAATAGCATTATGTCTAAAAAAGCAATGCACATAACTTAATTAAAAGTACTTTATAGCTAAAAAATGCTAACCATCATCTGAGCCTTCAGTGACTCATATTTTTTCAAGAGTAATATCAAAGATCACTGGGTAGAGGTGGGATCAAGATGGAAGAGTAGGAAGACCCTGAGCTCACCTCCTCCTGTGCACACACCAAAACTACAACATATATATAAAATAACTCTCTCTCAGAACAACCTGAAGACTGGCTGTACAGCTTTTTTACAATTAAGGATATATTTTTTTAAAATCACACAGAGACAGGTACAAGGGTGAAAGAAGCGACCTAGTCAGGACCCACACCCCCAGCAGGTCACCCAAAAGACAAAGGGGATATTACAAACTCAGAGGCCCTAGCCAATGCTCACTTCAGCTCCAGCCCTCCCACCAAAGCCACCAAGCACACACAGTCTGCAAAGGGACACTCCTATACAATGACACACTTTCCACACCAGGTGAGACAAATGTTTTGCCTAATTAATAAAGACAAACACTGAAAGTGAAACAAATTAAGAAGGCAGAGGAATATGTTCCAAATGAAATAACAAGATAAAACTCCTAATGAAATGAAGATAAGTAATTTACATGATAAAGATTTCAAAGCAATGTCATAAAAGTGCTTACCAAACTCAGAAGAATAGAGGATCACAGTGAGAGCTTCAATAAAAAATTAGAAAATATTAAAAAAGAACCAATCAGAGCTGAAGAATACAATAACTGAAATGAAAAATATACCAGAGAGAATAAAAAGCAGATTAAGTGGTAAAGAAGAATTAATAAATGAGTTGGAAAACAGAATAGTGGAAATCACCCAATCAGAACAGTAAAAAGAAAAAGGTTTTAAAATGAGGATAGTTTAAGGGACCTCTGAGACAACACTGAATGTCACAATATTCATTTTATAGGGTTTAGTCCCAGGAGGAGAAAAGAGAGGAAAAGGGGCAGAAAATATATTTGATGAAATAAGGGCTGACAAATTCTCTACCCTGGGGAATGAAATAGATATCCAGGTCCAGGAATCAGAGACAGTCCTAAAAAGATGAACCCAAAGAGTCAACACCAAGACACATCATAAGAAAAACAGCCAGAGTTAAAGAGAGAGAATTCTAAAGGTAGCAAGAGAAAAACAAAGAATCAAACAAAAGGGAACCCCCATAAGGCTCTCATTGATTTTTCAGCAGAAACTGTAGGCCAGAAGACAGTGGCATGATATATTTAAAGTGCTGAAAGGGAAAAACCTAAACCAAGGATACTCTACACAACAAGGTTAGGCATTCAGAACTGAAGGCAATATAAAGGTTCCCAAGACGAGCAAAAAGTAAAAGAGTTCATCGCTGCTAAGCAGGCCACACAAGAAACGTTAAAGGATCTTCTTTAAGCAAAAAAGAAAAGGCCATAACAAGAAATGAGAAAATACATGAAGAAAATAAATCTCATTGGTAGAAGTAAATATAATAGTAAAGGCAGTGGATCAACTGCTTAAAAAGCTGGTATGGAGGTTAGATGACAAAAGTTGTAAAATCAATTCTAATTACAATGAGTAATTAAAGGATACACAAAAAGATGTAAAATATAATGTCAAAAACATAAAATATGGTGATGGGATTATAAAAACTGTAGAACTTTAAGAATGTGTTTGAATTTAAATGACTATCAGTTTAAAACAAATATCTATCTACCTACCTACCTATTTATTGCATAGTAACCAAAAACCAAAAACCTAGAATAGATACACAAATACAAAGAGAAAGAAACCCAAACATAATACTAAAAAAAATCATCAAACCACAGGGAAGAGACTAAAAGAAGAAGAAAAGAATAGAGAAGAACTACAAAAACAATCAGAAAACATATAACAAAATGGCAAAAAGGACATGCCTATCAATAATCACTTTAAGTGTAAATGAACTAAATGCCCCAATCAAAAGACACCGGGTGGCTGAATGGATAAAAAAAAACAAGACATCTATATGCTGCCTATAAGAGACTCACTTCTGAGCTAAAGACACACATAGACTGAAAGTGAAAGGATGGGAAAAGATATTCCATGGAAATGGAAATGAAAAGAAAGCAGGGGTAATATAACTCATATCAGACAAAATAGACTTTAAAACAAAGATTGTAACAAAAGGCAAAGAAGGGCATTACATAATGTTAAGGGGGGGTCAATCCAAAAAGAGGAACTAATATTCATAACATATATGCACCTAACATAGGAGCAACTAAATATATAAACCAAATATTAACAGACATAAAAGGAGAAATTGACAGTAACACAGTATTAGTAGGGGATTTAATACCCCACATACATCAATGAATAAATCATCCAGACAGAAAATCAATAAGAAAACGTTGGCCTTCAATGATACTTTGAGCAGTTGGACTTAACAGATATCTACAGAGTATTCCATCCAAAAACTATAGAATACACATCTTCTTCAAGTGCACATGGAACATTCTCCAGGATAGATCACATGGTAGGCCACAAAACTAATCTCAGTAATTTAAAGAGTAAAATCATATAAAGTATCTTTTCTGACCACAGTGGTATGAAGCTAGATATCAATCACAGAATGAGAGGTGGAAAAGACACAAACACATGAAGGCT